TGGGTTGTAAGAGATTTGTGTAGTTTCTTGTGTGACGATATTGGGTGTACATTTATTGTGCTACATGTATTTTAGGCATCTTTGTGATAATTTATATAAAAAGACATGATAAAACTATATAAATGATTAACAAACTAACAACTAATGGCAAATTATAGATAAATCAAAGTGGTGTTATGTCATTACAATTTGAACAACCTACATATCGTTTGCAACCGAGTAAATCAAAATACAACAATATCAATAACATTACAATATGCATTAACCTAATACCAATTAGTTATCTTTCTTTCTCATCATCTCCCTGAGAGCCACACAAGAATATCCAACTCAACATCATCACTCATGCTACTAATTTTTCAGAAGTCTTATTTTTTTTTTTTTTTTGGTACTCTCATTTTTCAGTTTTTGAATTTCATTTCTTATTTTCTTATTCAAACTTTAAAAGCTCTATTTTTCAACATCAATCCTCTTAGCTGATTATTCCATTTCATTCAATCTCTTGAGCAACCCTTGAATTATTTATTGAGGACGGGCACAAAGAAGAGGCTCAACCCATCTAAAATACTTCCATCCTACTCCCTTAAATTCCAGCAAAAAAAAATAAATAAATAAAATAATAATAATAATAAACTGGAATGTATTTTTTCAGCAAAAAATCTCGATATTATACAACATACATTCTAAAGGTGGACACGAAAAATCTTCTTCTACAATTGGGAGTTTTCCATGAAGTACGAATTTTAGCATTCAGTCCCACAATAGCAATAAGGATACTCTATGCTCTCAAACATCTCATTCAAGCTTTAGGTTGAAGCCAGATTTCTTAAAGCTTGTACCGATCAATAAGACTTAAAAAATTCCGGATTTTTCTGCTTGATTCGAGGGTTTTTTTCTGCTCAAACTTCACATGATTATCCCCTCTTTTTCATTCGAAGGTGATTACAAAACGCGTGGAAGATGTATTTATAGATGTTGAGCTTAGGTGGATTAAGTAGTCTACGTGCAGTTCCCACTTACATATTTTCTGAAATCAATCGACCGAAATTGGGTAGAAAGACCGAAATTTTAAATCCTTCTGGCTACGACTGCCAAGTCTAGAAGATGGTGGCTAAAATTGTCTGCCCGTATAAGTTACTGCCTCTATTTTGCAGTTTAGTTTTTTTTTTAATTATCCACTCGTGATTCCCTTAGCTTAAGTTTTCATGAGCTCGTTTAAGGTTAATTCAACCAACTCACTTGCAAATAGAGTGTATAGGATTTTAATTTTTTTTCTTTCTATCGATTTTTGCTTAAATTCAATTCCAAACGGTTTACCTTGAGAAACACTACTTGAGATTGAGATCTTTCTCGAACTCAGCTAAAAACTACAAACACGTAAATTGTTGGCAATTCTCATAACTTCAACTTAGCATCTTATTACGGGACAAGTTCTTACGTATATGCAGCAGTTTTTTCTTCTTTTGGAAGAAGTACGTATTTCAAGTATAAATGATTAATTCCACAACTTCTTGGAAAATGAGTGTTTCTTTCATTTTTATTTTTTTCCTTAATTTATATATCCATAACTGTAAATGTTAATTATGAGGAAATTATTTCCAATTGAGTAGAAAACATGATACTTTTTTTTTGTTTTTTTTTTTTG